CCATCTAATTTTCTGGTCTTTACTCCCTTATTAGCTTCTGACTTACAGCTATTCATAGTATCTATTTATTAATTTACACTCTATCTCGATTCCAAAAGGATATGAGGTGGTATCTTATCACATATAGTATTAAAAGACATGGTAATTGAAATCTTCAATTAATCCCCAAAATGCCATGTAGTGGAAAGAGCGCTGCACTGGAAGCCAAAAGACATAGGGTCCAACTCTAGTTCTTTACCCAACCAGTTATTTGACATGAGAGCACACATTTGCTTATTTGTAAAATAATGTCAATTGTCTAGAGAACTGCTAATTATGAAATCCTATTCTATTTCCAGAACCAGCACTTTACAAAAGGTGTTGTCAGGGGCACTATGAATTCTTGAGGGGAAGTGGGTTTCTTCACTACAGGACTTCTAAAAGGCATCAGGATTCTCTGTTGCCTACTCAACAGCCTTCTGTATTCCTTCCTTCCCTATACTAGCATAATCCACCTTACCTGTACAAAGAGTGAACATGAATAAATTAGAAGAGCATCTAAAACTTAAATGCTCAATAAACATCATTTGTTAATTAACTACAATCACATAGTTGTTGAAATCCTAAACCATGTTCAGAAGTACCACAGGGCGCCAAAGAAGAGTTGGAAAAATCCCTGAACTGGTTGACTTTAAAGTTCAAGTGGACTCTGTGAATATGAGTCTTTGCCATTCTCCCTGGCATTTGTTCTACAGCAAGTCTCTTCTTTTAAATAGATTTTTAGGTTAGCAATCTCTAGGCTATACAATAGGAAGCACTGGCCAATTTCAGAAACAGAATCTTAAAGTGTTAGCCCAAACTAGCAAATCATTCTGCATCAGGACTTAGACATTTAGCATTACATTAGAAAATCCACTGGGGTGCTGGGTGGGGGCAGCCTGGGTGGCTCAGACAGTTAAGCATCTGACTTTGGCTCGGGTCATATTCTCAGGATCCTGGGATCCAGCCCCTCGTCGGGCTCCCTGCAGAGCTGGGAGTCTGCCTCTCCCTTTCCTTCTGCCCCTCCCCCAGCTCATGCATGCACGCTCTCTCTCAAATAAACAAATACAATCTTTAAAAAAAGAAAAAAGAAAAGGAAAAGAAAATCCATTGGGAAAATAAATGGCAAGAAATAATTTAGATGAAGTTGGAAATTTTGTAGATGCCCAATTGATTTGAAACTCCTCCTATAAATAAAAATATATACCCCATTAGCTTACAGGGTATATGACTGAAATCTTTTAGGTCAGTAGAAGATTTCTTCAATTCATCTTTGTAACTCATCATTACTGAATGAAGTATTAAGAAATGTATTTATTGTATACCTAGTGTACCATCTTGAAGATGTGCACAAGGCTTTACAAACACAGTCACATTTGGGCTTGAATCTAAAAGGTGCAGACAAGTTCACCAAGTAGAAAAGAGGCAAAGGGAGGATCAAGGGGAAGAGGCTAGCACCTCTACAGAGGCCTGAAAGACATCAGATTTGAGGAATGGCAAGTGGTTCCTGGGTGCCTGCAGGTTAACAGAACTGTGGAAGAGGGGCCAGCAATAAAGGTGGGCAGACAGGAAGTAGGTAGGTTGTGAAGAACCTGGAAATATGAACTTCTGGCATATTCTGGGCCTAAGTATTTCATCTTGGAAGAAAAAGAAAAGGAGGGGCCGAGCTCTGTATGCACATGGGGAATGCTGTTGGCTTTTAACAGAGTATCGTTAATCATCATCTTGTGTTGGACAATGATATAAAAATTATACTGAGTATCGGGCATATTTTTATTTCAGATATCAATACAATACAAAATTTTGGTGATTAATATGACCTCATCATAAAAATGTGTTGATTCCTATTATTTGTTAAATGGTATCTTGATCAGAGATATAAGCGTGTGAGTTGATAATGACGAAATTCCCCATCTTCTTGAATGGGGCTTAAGAATTTGACAATCTGTGAGAATAAGCCCTGTGTCTGCTATACCAGCCTACGCAAATGAGTCCCAGGAGAAGTAGAACCAGTTCCAATGGCCTCTGGGAGCTGAGTGGGGAGCTGAGGTGAAGGGCTGGGGCTCGGCGTTTTATATGCACCCTGTTATGGTGAATCACTGGGACACAAATGCTACTCCCCCTCTAGCCACCCCCCCCCCTTCATCAAGCAGGATCTCAGGGTGGGCTTGACAGCACGAGCAGGTCACATTCCCCCCAGCAGCCATGAGCATTGCGTCTGCTGCCAGGCATATCCCTGGCATATCTGCCCCATCTGCGACCACACCCTGACCCGAGGGCAACAAAAGGAAAGGAAAACAGAGTAGGCAGACACCAAAGCAGGTTGGGTTGCTTCCTTCTCTAGCTTCTCTGAGAAACTTGATAAATGTTTTCCCTTCTTTGCTTTCAAAGTTCCAGGAATGAAAAGTGCTCAATCTGCTGGACCCATGAGGGAGGATAAGGGATGATTTTTTTTCATCATTCATCCCTGCCCAGATTCCTCCTGCTAATTCCGAGGAACCATCTGCATCAGTCTGCTAAATGAGTTTGGACATGGCTCTTCGCGCACTAGGAAGCCACTGGAAGTTGTTACGCAGGGAGTTATATAATCAGATTTGTGATTTAGAAAGGCAGCTCCGGCAGAAGCTGGGATTGGAGAAAGCAGGCCCTGGGAAGAAAGAGGTCAGCCTGAGGCCTCCGTGACTGAGTGATGAGCAAGCTCTGTCCCGCTGTAATGGTGGGCTGCATGAAGGCGGAAGGAAGTGAGGCTGGCCGTCAGGAGAGGGGAGGAGGTGGAGGTGAGGCCGGGGCTTCAGACCCCGTGGCTGGGAGCCAATGCTGACCACCCAGTGAGGAAGGTCAGCTAATCTCATCATATCATTCACAGTACTACATGGAATGGATCCAAAGCCGGGGAGGCAAGCACTTTTCAGGGTTTAGATACCTATTCACAAAGTACACCCCAGAAAAAGCATATCAATGTATTCTTTTACTACTAGCATATGAGAGGCAGCACAGGAAAATGGTTCCTGACACTGGAGCCAGAAAGGGTTCAAATCCTGGCTTTGCCAGCTAATCGCTATGTGATTTGGGATAAATTACTTCAGTACTATGTGCCTGTGTCCTCACCTCTTAAATGAGGGGAATAACAGAACGCAGCTAAGTATCGTGAGGCTTAGATGAGTTGTCATGAGACGCCTGGGTGGCTCAGTCGGTTAAGTGTCTGCCTTCGGCTCAGGTCATGATCCCGGGGTCCTGGGACGGAGTCCCGCATCGGGCTCCCTGCTCAGCGGGGAGTCTGCTTCTCCCTCTGCCCCTCCCCCCACTCATGGACCTGCACGCTCTCTCCGTCTGAAATAAAAAAAAAAATCTTAAAAAAAAAATCGTTAAAAAAAATGAGCTGTCATAAGCAAAGGATTTAGAACACTTGGTGCACTGTTCTGAGCTCAGGGCCTGGCATATAGGCCCCACTTAATAAAGATTCTCCCTCTCTCTCACCAAAAATTAGTACTAAAGAAGTAAAAAATTCACTTTCAAAGAGAAAGAACCTCAGCTTACCGTTCTTCCTGATTTCAACATTATATTGCTTAGACAGTTCAACAAAAGAAGCTGAGAAAGCTTAAGAAAAACAAACTTTTTTTTTTTTTTTTCGCCCTGAGAAAACTCCTAAGAGAAGACAGAAACAAATTCCCCAGCACAGGGTACTCTAAGGTTCAGCCGTTTGAAGACCACACAGTGCTTGCTTATAAATAGAATATCAAAACAAGCAAGAGCAATTTTCTCTTTTCGTCTTCCCTTATTGCCTAATTTCCCTCCCATACCATTTGCATAATGGATAAAAAGGCATCCATTATGCAAATGAATGATAGGGCGGTGAGGTTGCTGAAGCCACAAACCTCTGCTGTGGATGGAGCGAAGCTGCCACGGAGCCCTGGGTTGTCCGCATTCCAGCACACCACGTCACTAGCTGGGTTTCCAAGGGATAGAGGAGCATCATGAAGATTAGAGGTCATAAATTTCCACTTGGTTTATTATAAAAGCGGCACCACAGATGCTTTCCAGAAAATTAGTACCAAATACGGATATTCAGTATTGTGGTATGTAAAATACACTTTCCAGTAAACATTTTGTTTCAGATGGGAAAAACCAGTACTCTGCAGGACTTCTATGATTTTAAGCATATACTTTGCTTTGCAAGGGAAAGAGTCCCCTTGCAGAGTAGTAAAAGCCTCTGTTCTTCTACCCGGATAATTAACCTATATAACAGGTGCTCAGAGCAGTCTCAAAACATGCAAACATTCAAAAGGAATGAAAATTTGTTTTTAAGTACCAAAATGTTAGTGGCTTTTTCAAAAGCTTCGTGCTGTTAAACTGACCTAAATTTATCTCTAAGAGGCATCACCGAAAACTGACATTGCTCTTGGAGATGTAAATGCACTGAAACTTGAGAAGAATGTTTATTTTTCTCCCAATGCCTTCAAAACAAAAATGAAGAATTCTGAACAAAATTACTGGGTAGGTGGTTCTTGCTGGAATAAATCAGTAGGATAGAATTAAGAGACTAACTTCAAGATGTTTTCCCCAAAGTCTGAGATAAATCGTTTGAGGAGAAAAAGAAGGTGGCTGAAACAGAAACTGACCTCTATTCCTAGTCTGAATTCCTTGGTAACTGTTAGCTTTTGCCAGATGACCCTTTTCAGAGACATTTTTTAAGTGACCCTCATAGGCTACAGATGAACCCCATCACTTACAGACCAGTCTGTCCCATAGGATACTGCAGGAGCAAGCAATTCAGATCCACCCACCATTCAAGAAAAAACCATATCACCTTGTTTGAGCATCCACAGCTACAAAGAGCTATGTAAAAATAATTTAAAGAAAGGACAAACCAGATTTTTAAAGAAAGGCACTAAGAGGCTAAGTCATATAGTAGAAGCAACTCATAATCAGCAAGATGATGCATTTCAACCAGGTGAAGAGCATACCAGTGAAAATACACATACCTAATTTCAGAGCAGAAGGGGTTACTTCAATTTCTCCACCAGTTGGTTTAAATGCAGCCAACTGGGCAGCCACCTCCGTCTCAAAGGCATCTGGGCTCTGCCGGCCTGCAGGGTTTCCACTGGGGCTCTCAATCTTGTGAAGTGGTTCTTGTTCATCAAACACAGCAATCAGCTATGAACAAATCCAACAACACTAATTACTTTGAATGGCATGCATATCACACAACACTGTATCTAGCTGATTGTGATCTTTCTTTGATTTTAAGGAAAATGGCCTCCGAAAACTTGTAACTTGGACGTTACTGTACCACAACTCTCAATGCAATATTATGTCTGTAAGGACAGTGGCAGGATTTCCTTAATGGTTTATCTATTCTTGAAATAAAGAACCTATTTTGGCTAACTGTCTCGAAGGAAGGAAATGGCTGCCCCTTCCCCACGCCACCTTTTCCAATATGCCAAAAAGGACTTCAGTATTTTTTTAAGAGGGTTTCCAGAAACAAAAGTTGAATATGCAAAAGCTGAACAACAGATCTACAGGGTAAAAAAGGCCATTCCAGTCTCAGAGAGCTAAGATATTATAAAATCCACAATTACAGCTGTCCTTTTAGATACAATCACAATATATGTGCATATTTCCATACAATGTGTTCACTTTGTACACACAGATATCCCCTTTTTATATATCCCTTTAATTTTGTTCTCTTCATTCATGACGCTATGTTGACTGGTTTAAGTCCAATGAACGTCAAGTCCAATGAGACTACACATCAGCACTTTTAAACAAATTATTCCCATCTTCATCTCAATTTTGTTTTGTATGAGAACTGTTTCTTGTCCTTAATATAAAAACATTTAATTGTCCATTTCCAAGTCATTTTTCATAAAGGGCAAGATACAATAAAATATTCATTGCACAAACATTGCTGTATGAACAGCGAGGACAGTCCTGATGAAACTGTGTTTTTGGCCGGCAGACAGCACCACCATAGAGCGACTTCGCATGCTGCTCATCAGGTGATGTGGAAAAGTCCAAGTGTGTGTGTAGTAGGCAGCGCGGGGATGCGAATGTCAACCCAACAAAGGACAGTGTGTGCAAATCTGAAACCTGCTAGGAAATCTTTAGATATTTTTCACTCATTAAATAAAACAAACTTACTTATGATTCAAACATTTATTCAGGAAAGGCACTCAAAGGCCCATTCATAGGGGAATCTTGTTAGCAATAGTATTAATAACACAAATGCAGGAGTAATCAATCAAAACATCATAAATTCCAAGTTCAGTCTTTCAAAAGAAATGAATACAATTAGGGATATGCAAATTGACTATTCAAAAATAATTTTCATAACTGACTACGCATTTCCAGTATGGAGACTTCTTTAATTGGAAAATCCAACAATCCTCTTACCACAGGAAAGAAATACTACTCCCAAGGCATTATTTTTAATTCTTGAAATTGAGCACATACATTTTCTATTTTTAATTGGCAGCACTGATGAACTGATTTGAGAGAAGACTTAAACAGATTAATAATGAAAGATTATTCTAGTATAAAAATAATCAGTAGTTCTGTATCTTTCTAATCATCTGGTCAGAGTGAAGAGCTTAACACTTTAAATCTTGAAAAGGAAAATAAAATCAATTTTTAAAATGTGCTGGAAGTGTTATTTTCATCACTATTTTCGTGACATAATTATAATTTCAGTTTTGCATATTGGTGAATTCTAACACATCTTAGTAACATTTATTTTAATTGCCAATCGGCGAGGCAAAGTGGCTTATTATACTGGTTCTACGAACACTTTTGTGTAAGTTAAGACTAGTACCTTACTTTTCCTCTTGCTACATCCTTAACTGCTAATATATGTACTGTGCCTTAAACACTGGGGAAAAGAGAAAAAAAGATAGAATAGCAATCTAGAGCATAATACAGAATCTTAAAACTCAAAACTCATAAATCATTACCTATGTTTGTTATATAACCCTTCCTCCTTAAGATACTTTACTGTTTTCCATACCTTCATATCTACACAAGTTTATAGCATATGTAATAACAATGGTACACCTATTTATCAAATGAGAGAACACAACAGTTCAGAGATTTTGTTTCCCAAAGGGATATACTAAATAGTAATGGGTACGAGAATCTAGTCTTTTTAAATTTCCCACCCAGGGTTTCAGACCACAGTGTGACTGTTTTCCAAAATGAAAACTGTAAAAAGAGAGGCTACGTTGTCAAATATACGTGGTTTTCCCATTAGGATGTTATGTCCTAATGAATACGGTAGACACAGAAAAGGCATTACATGACTCTTCACAAAGATGATGATAAAATGAACTGGAGCAGCCCCAAATCTCACGGTCTGTCTCCCAATCCCATAACTGACAGGAATTATCACCAGAGAGTCTACTCTGGATGTGCAGATGAATGAATGAATGAACGAACGGGTATCTATTCCTGGAAAGAAGAGGTTCAGTTCCTGAATCTGTGGTGCCCAAACGGAGTCATTGGGTCTATTGGTGCTGGCTGCTGAGCGACTCACCATGGGCTTTCTTCATCTCAACATCCACAACATGCACAGAACTTACACTCGCTTCAACATTGACAATTTATTTAGCTGTACACATTGCAGGTGCTTATTAGCTAGATTACTTGACTCATCAGAACATATACATTCCTGGGTAACAGAGTTCCCAGCAGACAGTGTTACAGAGATGCATTAATTAACATAAACCACTGTTCTAGTCCCTCAATAGAAGGAAGGCATGCTGATTTCCAAAGCGTCCAGTGCAGGAAAATGGCCTCTCTTCCCTGACCTTACACCCATTACAAATTGCCTTTCCCACAGAGATGAGATGGACATGAAAGAAGGAATTCTACTGAAAGTTTTCTGTTGTTAAGGTTTCACCTAGACTAAACTTCTAAGGCATACGGAAGATTTTTCACTGACATGGTAGGGCCTATACTAACCTAAATGCTATGCAAAATGCAAACAAGCAATATTTCATTTGGATGCCTTCCTCCTCTGCTGCTTTATCCATCTTCTGGTGACCCTTCTGTTCTCCTTCCATAATGTCAGTATTCTCATGTCACCCAGTGCAACACCGACATTTCCCAAAGACCCCATAATTCAAGTTCTTTTCACACAGCCATTATTCCCAATCAAAACTTCTGTCTGCACAGATCTCTGTCAGTATGTAGGCATCTTATCCCCAAAGAGACACAGGAAGGTTAGTCCACAAATATGCTATTCATTCTCCCACTCAAAACAAAAATAGAAACAAACAACCTTCTCAGGACCCCTACAAATACCATACCCATTTCTCAACTTTCCTTGAAAGCAAAATCTGAAAGAGCTGTCCACAGAGCAAATTTCCAGTCTCTCTCCTCCCACTCTTTGCTGAGACCACACTAGTCAGGCTCTCGCCCCTCCACTCCATGGAAACTGTTCTTATCAAGGTCAAAAACAATCTTCAGGTAGCTAAATCCCAAGCCACTTTTCTGGCTTGATTTAAGGACACAGTTGATCACTACCCTCTTCCTTAAATTATTTTCTTCACTTGCCTTCCCGGACATCTTCAATTCTCCGGGCCCTCCATTAAATTTCCTTTTACTTATCCTCCTCGTCTCTAAAAATGTGAAATATGTCTAAATTTTTTTTGGACACCTCATTTGTCTCATGGCATACATGTAAGTATATGCTGATAACTTCCAAACTGAAATCTTCAACCCAGAGCTGCTTCTTGAACTCCAGGATCATATGGCCCACTGTCTAAAGTAACATGTCAAAAACTGAAAAACTGACCTTCCAAAGCTCTTTCCATAATCTTTTTCCATCCCAATTAACGGCACCCCATTCTTCCAACTGCTCAGGATAAAAGCCTCCTATTAATCCTTGATACCTTTTTCCTTCCCTTCCTCCCTCTGTCTCTCATACACCCCCCACACAACCAATTTGTCAACCAATCTCGAAATATAGTCAGAGTTTAACTGCTTCTCACCCCTCCACTCTCACCACTTTGGACCCCACTCCCAGTCTCTCCCGTGGATTATGACAACAATTTCCTGTCCGGTCTCATTGTTTCTACCCATGTTCCCTTTCAATCCATTCTCAACACAGCAGCCGGACTGACCCTACTAAAACGCAAGGCAGGTCATGTCTCTCCTCTGATCAGTTGCCTTCCCATGTCACTTACAGTGAAGCTCAAGTCCTTGCAATGGACTATCTGGTCATGGGCTCCCTGTGAAATTTCTGACCTCATGTTCTGAGTACATTCTCCCCTGCTCTCCGGATTCTATCCAGCTATGATTTCTTCTTGTTCTTGACTCAGTGTCTTTGCACTTGCTGTCCCCTCTGTCCCTTCGGTCCCTGAAGCAGTCTTCCCCCAGACACATACATGGCTTGTTTCTCTATCCTTCCCAACTTTACTCAAACACCACACGTCTGTGTTGCAACATCACTACAACTTCCTACCCTCTCTTCCTTTTTCTTTGGAGCATTTATCACCCTCTCAGTGTTTCATCTTTTCTTGTTTGTCTTAGCTATTGCTGGTCTTCTCACAGTACTAGAATATAAGCTCCAAGAAAACAGTGATTTTTGTCTTTTTTGTTGTATTCCCATCACCTAGAATGGTGCATATACATAGTAGGCCCTGAACATATATTTGTTGGAATGAGTAAAATGAGACAAGAACAGACACTAACATCTAAGATAGCAATAAGATAAAAGATCCCTGGATTTTTTCATGTGTTTTCAGAATAAACATTCAAATTATTATTTTTTTTTTTAGAAATGAATGAGTATAAACAACCAATACATACCTGTAAGATCCTCCAAGTGTCATTATCATTATTGCTGTTGTTTTGGTTTTGTTATGGGGGAGAAATTCCTCATTTTTCTATTCAACACTGGGAGAAATTGCTTCTGCCACATCAAGCTCCAAAAATAGAGATTATGTGTGTTCTCTTTTCTTTTTCAGGCTCAGTTTTGAAAGGGAGAATCTGTTTCTTTGGTCTCTGAAGGAGCAGAAGTGTCACACTAGAGGTTGTGTGGCAGATGGAGAGGGAGCAGGGTTAGCAGTCTGGCGCCAGGCACTCCCTTGCCCACTTTCCTCCAAGACGCCACTTGGATGTACCTGGTGTCAAGCTTCGAGATGTGTGCCCCAACG